TTTGCCACAACTAACATTGTCAACAGTGTTGTACAAAATCATTGTACAAATAGCATAATTCCATGTGTTATAGAGATGTCAAGTATGATGAATCACATGTTTGTTGACTTTTTGATGCAGTGCAACAAATATACTATGGATGATTCACTGACCTATTTTGAGGATGTTTATATAAGATAAGTTGGTTAGTATGGTTAAAGTGATAACATGTTATTTTCTGCTACACAAGGTTATCTAACTGTATTTGTAAGATTTTAACTTGCTAACTTGCTAATTTACCAGAAGTGAAATTACTAATCTATAATCTGCTTGGAAACAATTAATTCTCTCTATATGCTCATTTGTGTCCTTTACATGATTGTTCTAGTGTAATGTTTAAATACTAAACGTTTCTACGCAAAATTAAACTGAAGAGTCATGCAGAGTCCGTAGGATAATAAATGACGAATAAGATCCTCTCCCATCTCTAAGGAAACCGTTAGCTAAATTAGGATTCTATGGTAGTTAATTAAATTTATATTTCTTCCAAATATTCGCATCCAAGATTATCTGGAAGGAAAAATGTCACAAAAGTTTTTAGAGAAATTATGATTTCATATTTGCAGAATACGAAAGTCTTCTCATGTGATAGATTTTGAATAAATGCTTATTTCAAATTCGAATGGATTGGCATCAGTGAACATAGATACTAACTATAAACTCTGAATGTTTAGTGAACTCTGTGTCTCTGTGAGGTTTCCAAACTTCAGGCGTATCTATATAAGATATGTTCGATTCTCCTCATCAGAGGTTTATATGCCTTGTGAATGCATGAGGAATCATAGTCTGTTGATGATTTAAACTTATATTGTTATACAAATAATAGGTTCTTTATAATGGAGGTTCTTTAACATTTTGATACAGGTGGTTACATTGTGGTACCTGAAAAGTTGCCGAACTATGTGGTACCAGATTTGACTGACTTCAAGGTACTTTATCAAAAACGGATTTTCAGGTTTCAAATATAAGCAATGATAATACTATAATAGCAATAATGTGAAAATGCAAGGTACCTGTGCATTTTTTAGACAACAAGAACAAGTCCTTTAGTGTTTGGAGGTTTGAGAGTTTTGTTCACAACGGTCTTTCCAAGCAAGATGCACATGTTACCGGCCTCCATCAACATTAAGTACCATGTAGAAGAAGCCATTAGTAAGGAGTTCATGGTTGCTTTTTTATCATCGCATATCCAGATAATTCGATTACCATTACATCTTTTCCTTATGAAAGAAGCATTATGTGATTCTATCACCTATTGAAGGAAATGGCATTTTTTTTATCTATAAATTGTTTTATATTCCTTCCATTTTCTTTCACTAGTGGGTGTAGGAACTGTGGTAAGATGGTATTGAGAGAAGTATGGGGTGATTAGTTTATCAAGTTAATAATCAATGTTGAAGAAAGGAGAAAAGAGCCAAGAAAGTGCATAATGGTTCTGATCCTCCCATCTTGACAAGTAGTCGAACTTTTCAATATCCTTATTCTGTTATGCAGACGTAAGGTAAGCTGCATCAATTCCTCTTGGATACTGAGGTCTGTGTTTAAATTTGACAATGGGAGTGCAGACCTGAAAGTCTTGGACCAATCTCCACAGCATATTTACAGTATGCCCTCTTTTCAGGCCATGAACCTCCAATGTTTAAAAAGACTTAATTGGATATTGAGCCATTTTATCTCTGTGAGGTGAGGGCGCAAGCCTCAAGATAGGAAAATGAAAGAATTCAAAAGAATATAAAATACACAAATGTGCTCATAAATATACCATAAATCCTTTTAAAAAATCCACAAAATAAATATAATTAAAAAAATTAGAAGAAGAACTTGTAAACAAACATAAAATAGATCAAGAAAATAGAAAATAATTTCTTAAATCATGTAACAAAAATTATAATCTATTACTAAAAGTGGAGAAAACTCAGAGCCTTTTTATATCTCGCTACTAAAATGATCTTTAAGTGATCATTAATATCATCTCATTATAGTTTCTTTTCGTTCTTTGTCATCATCCTCTAATTGCAATGCTGTATTCTCCTTCCCGTTTTCCTTCCACGTAGGTGAGAAAAAAAAAAAACCTGTCAAATGTTTGAAGTTATAGAGAAATAACTCAAAGCACAGTCATATGGCATGTGGGTAATTTACAACATATCATTTGTGGTGTGACATCGATATAGTATGAAGTGTTGATGAAATTTTCTGGTGATCATCGGGGCCATGCTGCTTTCAGCGATTGTTGTGGAACTGGATATTGTTACTTACAACCAAAAGGGTACCTGTTATCCTAGAGGTAGAGGGTCCTGCGCTAGGGTATGAGGAAATGATAAATCTATATGTACATAATTATTGTACATAATGGATTACATAGGCCCATGTGGAAGAAATCCGGCCGTTGATGTGAAGTGTGGAAAAGTAAAGAATTGTAGACTACCAATGGATGCGCGTCACATGTCAATTATGTAATGTATTATGTAAATGATTATGTACTTGTAGCATGATCCTTTATACATTAGGCCGTAAGAAGATAGAATTTTTCTCAATCATTTTTCTTGAGACAATAGTTTCAAATACTTAACTAAAAA